GCCTACTCCGTCCAAGTGCTCAGTCAGTTCCTTGCTAAATCGATTGTAAGTCACCATCAAGCAGCAACCAAAGTATTGAGGTACCTAAAGGCTACACCAGGGCAACGCCTGTTCTTCCCATCTTCTTCAGAACTACAACTAAAAGCTTTTTCAGATAGTGATTGGGCAGGGTGTATAGACACTCACAGGAGCGTCACTGGCTTTGCAATTTTTCTTGGCAACTCTTTGATTTCCTGGAAAGCAAAGAAACAGGTCACCATCAGTCGTTCTTTAGCAGAGGCAGTGTATCGAGCCCTTGCAACAACTACTTGTGAAATCCAATGGCTCCTCTATGCATTACAGGACCTAAACACTGCTCATCCACAACCAGCTTTACTCTATACAAACAGCAAATCAGCACTATCCACAGCCACAAATTCAGTCCAACATGATAGGACAAAACACATTCAAATTGATTGCCACCTTGTTCGAGAAAAGTTGCACCAAAATGTCATTAAGCTATTCCACATTCCATCCAGACTTCAACTCGTAGATATCTTGACAAAACCCATCGGATCCTTACCATTTCATCATACTCCTCGCAAGATGAACCTTCTTAACATACATGTTCATCTTGAGGCGTGGGGGAGGAAGGGGGGTGTTGGAGTATTGCATCACACATTGACAACATGGAATTGAAACGAAGAGAAGAATTAGCTCAAAGAAGTTAGGAGTTAGTTAGCTTCGATTATTCTAGTTGAGTTACTTAGCTTCGGTTATTCTAGTTGAGTTACTTAGCTTCGGTTATTCCAGTTGAGTTAGTTATTATAGTTCAAATTTCTGTTATCATGTAGTATAAAAAGCGGTCCAATACTTGATGTAATGTATTCGGATTCTCATTTTTCATCAGTAATAAGAATTGATCTTCAAGCTTAGTTTCTATGTTTCTCTGTCTCCAACCTCCTTCTATTTTTGCTTTCAAGATAAATCTGATATTCAACATCTGTTTCAATGTCTTACGACAGACAACTTGCTGCTGCTAAGAAAGCGGCCTCTCTTGCTGCTCGCCTTAGCCAGGTCAATTTTTTCATTCATAATTATTGTGCATTTGTAACCGTTTCATTTCGTTCTTTTTGTTGGATTTCAGTGATTCGTAGTGTATATATTGCTATTTTAGGATTTTTTTTGTAAATTTAAGTGATGCCCAGATGAAAAAATTGCTTCTTTTTTGGGAATTATAGTAATGCTCGGATGAAAGATTGCATATCATTTGGTGAAATTCACAATACCCAAATGGAATAAAGGTGAATTTTTAATGGTGAATTATGGATTGGACTTTTTAGCATTACCTTTGCACGGGTTAGGTCTAGTTTTGTCGAAAAGTACGTTTCCAGAATTAAAGGAATTATGTTTATTGGCCATTCTGAGTTGGTTTCTCAAGGAAGTGGAGCTAACTGGAAATGGAAAATTTTCAGATCAAATTTCCCAGTTCACTTTTTCAATAAGTTTTTCGATTTACTGCAGATTTTTGGTATGAACCCCCTAATTTCTGCAGTATGCAAGATAACTAACATTCATTGCTGCTGCTTACTACAGAAGGTGCAAAAGGCATTGCTACAATCATATGTCCAATCAAAAAATGATAAAACTCCTGTCACAGTGGCTAATAGTATGCTAATCAACTTCTAGATCTGTTCATCTAGTATTGGCACTTTGTGGGATTTAATTTTGGCAATATTTTTTTCTTTTTCTCTTTAAACAATATGAGCTATTGTAACCTTTGCAGAAAGTAAAATGATCAAACTAAAAGCATAAGATTGGTTCATATAATTGACAGGGAAAAATTTGCATTTTGCAAATTAAACTATAGGATGAAGACTGATTTTAGATGGTGATTTTACATCTGCCACTTGGGATAACTAACGTGTTTTATATTGGTTATTTTCAAATTCTGCTGGTTTATTAATATATAACCTCTTCATTCATTATTTCCTTTTCACGTCTGTTCTTGCTCTGTTTCTTGACCATTTCTAGTGTATAATTGGTGGCTTTGATTTCATCCAATTGCTCTTACTTTCTCAAAGGGGGAAATCAGATAAAAAATGAAAAAAAAATTAGGCAAGCAAATATTATGACAAGAAGGAGTTAAAAAGATAAGGGTGCTAAACAAGACTTGTATATGAAAAACAATGAAACATGGTACAGTGCCATACATTGGAAAATCTGTTTAAAGGCAAGCAAAATTACATTTAAAAGCTAGAGAAGTTCTATATAATCCTTCATTTCTTGCACTTGAAGTCTACATATTTTGCCTTCAAATATCAATTTCTATAATGAGGATGACCATTATACTCTCAAAGACCAAATGCAATCCAATTTTCTCATTTTAATTGTGCTTGCATTTAATTTGCAGGTTCACAGGCTCTTGTTAGCTTTATTCTGGGGAAAGAGTTGCCATCAATGTCATTTTCATTAGTGGCCGAAGAGGTAGTCTTAGAACTTGTGATTGATTTTTTATTGGTGTCGAAAAGGAAAAAAAAAAACCATATTTGTGAACCTATTGATCTAATGGTGAGGCCTATTATGGCTTTTCTCTTCATTTGCTCTTTCTACAAGGTGGCTGATTTCTTTCTTTTTATGGAATAAAATTTTTAAGCTTATTCTCCCATCAAACGTGTGCAGGTTATTTACCTATTTTCTGTTTGAATGGAGTATATGAAGATTGAGTATTTCTAGGACTCAGAGAACCTCTGCAAAGAAGAAGCCCAGGGTACGCTAAAGCGCGTAACAGAACTCGTGAATGAGACGCTTTCTAGTGATGGAATGACACGTGTGTTGCCTTTGTCCGAGGAAGATGTATTCGTTGCCATTGACAATGGAAAATCTGAAGGAGGTCCTCGTGGTCGGAACTGGGTATTGGATCCTATTGATGGTACCAAAGGGTGGGTTTGTAGATTTTATTGGCTTGATGTGATTGCAAAAGATTTAGTTTTATTGGGATTTGGTAGATAGAGTGCTAAATTTCTTGAAGTGGCAAAAAGTAATTCATTCAGTCGACTCCAAGGTTATTAATAATAAGGCTTAGCTATGGAAGGTCATACACGACTTGCAGGCATTCTGGGTAACTTGTTCCAAAATCAGAGTCTGTTCCCCTGAACTATTTTGTACTACCAACATACTAAGACAAGGAGCAGCACATTCTTGACCCAATTTAGGCATTTATGAACGTGTTTGGAGTTGTTTTTTAATTTTGAAATATAAGTCATATGGTCTGAGAGATCCTTTGATAACTGTCAAGATAAAAGTGAAAAATTGTAAAAGAACCTAGAATATTAGATAAGATTTAAACGAGTTCTCTCCACTCCTCTTGTGCACACATACGTGCACGTGCAACTATATGGTTTGAGCGCATAATGTTGGACATATATAATTCTTGTGAGTCCATTGATAGCATTGAATGCTTATGCATGCTAGTGCAGATTTCTAAGGGGCGACCAATATGCCATTGCATTAGCATTGCTAGATGAAGGTAAAGTTGTGCTGGGAGTGTTGGCCTGCCCAAATCTTCCTTTAGCATCTGTTGCCATCCATAATCAGCACATTTCTAAAGATGAAGTTTGTTGACCCAAAAAAATGTTGCCAACAGATGCCGGGCCCACTCGTGCACACGTAAGCTTAATCTGACACGCTAATGCCGATAGACGGTCATGATGGCTCCAAATAATGGGCGTGAGAGTGGCTCAAAGGCACGAGACGTTTCCATTCAGGCCACCGGCATGAAG